GTAATAAATTTTTTTTATTTAACCAGCTTTATATTATGCATTTAACAAGAAATAATTTTAAAGTCCTTATAATGTAGTTTCTTTGAGTAAATATATATGTAACAGTTAATTCTTTTTTAGATTCACAGGAAAGATATGCAAGGTGTTTTTGGTCACCTTGTACAACGATATGTACAGTCTATGGTTCCACAAAGACCTAGTACCTTTCAAGTAGCACTATCTACAGACTTTCCTGATGGACAATATGAAGAAGAATATACTTGCAGACCTCCAGCATTGGCAATGATAATTATATCCATACTAGAAATTATTCTATTTTTATATGATGTGATTGTATATAAATCACCTTCTGTTGAAGGACCAGCAGCTACATTATTTATTTATAATCCACACAAAAGATATCAAGCATGGAGGTATTTAACATACATGTTTGTACATGTGGGGTATGTATATTTTTTCACTGTATTAGTAAACATAAAGAATCTTTATATGATAAAGTAATTAAAAACGTCATTTTGCACAGAGTATTTCACCTGGTAGTAAATCTACTTGTGCAAATAATGTTGGGTATTCCATTGGAAATGGTGCACAAATGGTGGAGAGTATTAACTATATATATAGCAGGTGTTGTAGCAGGTTCTCTTGGTACCTCTGTGTCAGATCCTGGAGTATATTTAGCAGGTGCTTCAGGTGGTGTATATGCATTAATTACTGCTCATGTAGCAACTATTGTAATGAATTGGTCACAAATGGAATTTGCTATATTACAATTATTAGTATTCCTTGTTGTGACAGTTGTTGACATTAGTCAAGCGATATATAATCGTTATGTACTAGATACCAATGATCAAGTTGGCTATGTTGCTCATTTTGCTGGTGCCATTGCAGGCCTACTTGTAGGCATAAATGTACTTCGTAATCTTGAAGTAAAAACATGGGAAAAAGTTGTATGGTGGGCCAGTATTATTACATACACTGCACTTATGACAGCTGCTATTTTATGGAATATTTTATATACTTACTATGACTAGTTACATTAGTTAAATTTAATATATTTATTTTTTGATGCTGCCTTTTTTGGCAACTGGAGTTTGCAATCTTGCCACTATATCAGCACAAACGAGTAAAAGTTTTTTTTTATGAAAGCAGTTAAACGAATTAAGGTGCAAATATAAGCACAATTTATTTGAAACAAATATTAATATATTATGTTGTGATATAGAAGGTTTCTATGTTGCACAAAAAATAACTATTAAAGATGATATAAACATTTTTATCCTTGATAATATTCTGTGTTAAAGGAAAAGATGTAATATAATTTTTTTACTATTTCATTTTCTCTAGAAATATAACAATAAGAATTATTTTTGTGGTGATAATTATCATAGGCAACAGTTGTTCAAAGGTAATTTATGAAAAGAGAGCCAACAAGAAATCAAAATAAAGTTTGTAGGATAACACTTAAAATACACATTTTTAACTATAATATACTTTTCATAATAGTGTAATAATGTCAAAGTTACATTAATTTAAACATAAAGCCTTCCTTTCTTATGTCCCACACATAGGAATGTTATATACTATTTCTAAGTGTTGCCTTACACTAAACGTAAAATAAAAACTATGGTATAGAAAAAGTTACTTTGATAGTGCAATCTTCTGAATATCTGAATACAATACACTAATATAATATTTGATTACTCAGCATTTAATTATGAAGAAGCAACTTTTATTATTACTGTGTGAAGTATTATTGGTGTGAAATTATTCTTGAAGATTTCCATAATTTTTTTGTCATAATGTACTGCATTTCATTGTATCATGTATTTATAATTCATTATGTCATGTACCTGATTTGCAAACAACTAATGTGTTACAGAAGTAATTTGACTATATATATATAAGACATATAAAACCTCACTATCTATAAACTTGAAAATTCAATTGCAAAGTTCACAAATATTTTGGCCCTTATAAAAATAAAAATATATATTTCAATACAAATTTGCAAAAAGTCAGTTTAATAAAGTAGAATAAGAAAAACATTAAAAATGACAAGTGCCTTTCAAATTTAAAGGTGAATCTAACTGTCAAATACACAAAATTGTGCTGTTGTAATATTAAATTTTTAAGATTTATTTAGAGTGCAACACTTCTATTTTAGCGTAAAAAAAAAAACGAAGATTTTGATGTAAAATACTTCATAACAAGTTCAATTCATATTGTAATTATTTTAAATTTTGGCAAGTACATGATAAATACAAAAACTATGTTTTAGAAGATAATCGTGAGGTACATCGAAACAGTAGCGTTAGTATTAGTGTTAATTATCATTTTAATTAAATTAGATTTATAGTTTTATTATTTAAATTTGTCACGACAATAATATTCTATTATTATTTAATGTAATTATTAAGATCAGTATATGCAAAGAAATTATAAGTATTCGTTTTTTAAGTTTCATTGAATGAAATTTTAAATTTATTCCTTTTTTTTATCTTAATTTTTGTAATTTATTTTATTTTTATTATGTATAATAGACGTTGTCAGTATATACTTAAGATTTAAACTCCTAAAAAATATGCACAAAGGGGGGAAGACAGTATCAAACAATGCAATACCAAGCATGAAAGGTAATGTAAGTTTTTTATTCTTATACTTTCATACTGAAATAATAGATTCGAAATAAAGTAAATTACTATTAAGTAATAAAGTATTCAAAATAAGTAACATATATAATCAAAAGAAAGAAAGTAAGTTACACAAAAACTGTCAATTACTTGTTCCTTTTTTTACAGATGTAACATTTTTTTATATTGCAATTTTAAATTCATTTAAAACAATTTAGCAAAACAAAAAAGCGAAACACTCTATTTTACTGAGTATGTCTTACTATAAGAATGAGCAAAGAATTCTTAAAATATCTTGACATAAGTAATTTTACAAAATATTAAAATGTACTGTTAATTTAAGGACTATATCATAAAGAACATAAATTGTTGAAAAAAGTATATTTTACATGGTAGTTGTAAAGAGATGATCTCTAGATACAGGGTAATTTGTGTATCGAAAAAACGCACTATTACAACGAATATTATCGAATAATAATAATTTACCAAGGAACCTCAACTTTATCTGTTAATCGAATTTATATAATTTTTCACATGTAAGTGCTTCTTATGCATTATCTTGTATATGTAAGTTTTATAATAAATGCCAAATATGAACTAAAAAAATGCGTACAAATATTAATTAATATAAAATGTATAATTACCTGTATAATGTATCGTAAGTACATTTTGTACAGTTATCTCACAATAAATCACTGATTTTTTTATAAATAATTGCATTTCTTCATTTCCTCTGATGTTGATTAATTTTTTAATTTTCAATAAAATTATTTGTAAAAAGATTTCTAACTAATCTACTACATGCGACTGTGAAATCAATGTAAAGTTAATAAATATAGTTGTTTTATTAATTTAAATCATGTAACAAATTTATTTATTATGTCAAATAATTAAGAAACACTAACTATTCTATAATTAAAGTATTTGAAAATAAGCCAGAAGCTATATATTACTATCTACATTATTAGTTCTGTTGAAACAATTAAAAATTGATTACAGGTATCAATTAAATATAATAGGGATGACCAGGATAGCAATAGCGAAGAGAGACAAGGAAACGAATTCCGGCAGACACGGATAGCACTAAAGAAACGAGTTAGACAAGGAACGGAATAGGGATAGACAAGGACAGAAAAAAAAAATTTCAAAACGAAACTAACGCCATCTCGCGTTTGGTGACGGGAACTACGATTTTTTAATAGTAACACAGAATACTAACAGAGGTATTAGACAAGGATAGCACTAGTGTGCGAGAAGGACAGAGAGAAAACGCTTCCTATTGGCTGGCGGGCCGCCCTACTCCACCTCACACGGGCTAATCAAGTCGGTCAGGGAAGAATCATTAATAACTCAATAATTAGGATGATTTTGTGAACTTTTAGAACTGAAGAATGAAGTGTGGACCTTTAGCAACTTTCTCATATAATTTTTAATGCATTAGACCCTTTCAATAATTAGTTATTAACAATTTTAGAACGTGATGTCGGGAACGATACCGCATACCGTCAAGTAACTTTACGGTTTTTCAATAATTTTGTAGCTTTCTACTAAAGTCACATGAAACTAACTATACGCTTCTGAAAGGCAACTCCTTTAGCTACATTCCCATATAATTTTTGTTAACATATTCTCTTTAGTTTAGGAGTTATTAAACATTATATGAGAGAGTTCCCTATACATCGAACTCGTGTATAGTCAACTGTTATAAACAATTGCTAATATCTAATAAATCACACAACTTACGACTACGAAACTAATTGCAGAATATAAAGAAAAGCCCATTCTACATTCTGCATGCTTGAAAGTGTATAATTAATCATGCGTTTCTACTAAATTAACGAAAATGTGTTACGTTTGAATGCGACGGGTGTAATACTCTCCCAAATAATGTTAAATAACTATCAAACCACAAATGATATGTTAATGTAAATGATATGGGAATATAGCCAAAAGAGTTACCTTGAAGACAACTACAGTTAGTTGCATGAGAATTTAGTAGAAAGCTACGAAATTATTGAAAAACCGTAAAGTTACTTGACGGTATGCGGTATCGTTCCCGACATCACGTTCTAAAATTGTTAATAACTAATTATTGAAAGGGTCTAATGCATTAAAAATTATATGAGAAAGTTGCTAAAGGTCCACACTTCATTCTTCAGTTCTAAAAGTTCACAAAATCATCCTAATTATTGAGTTATTAATGATTCTTCCCTGACCGACTTGATTAGCCCGTGTGAGGTGGAGTAGGGAGGCCCGCCAGCCAATAGGAAGCGTTTTCTCTCTGTCCTTCTCGCACACTAGTGCTGTCCTTGTCTAATACCTCTGTTAGTATTCTGTGTTCCTATTAAAAAATCGTAGTTCCCGTCACCAAACGCGAGATGGCGTTAGTTTCGTTTTGAAATTTTTTCTGTCCTTGTCTAACTTATTACTCTAGTGCTATCCTTGTCTACCCGTATTCCTTTTCACTGCCTTACTCGTTTCTGTATTGCTAAATACCTGGACGAGTTATTCTTCGTGGGAAGCACGACTACTGATGGTACATATAATATATATTAGGTTAAACTTTTGGATTCTTTCAATTTTTGTCGATTATTACGCGTTCTTAACGATATCGGGACTTAATTAATTTAATTTTGTAATACAATATTATTTAAAGAAATGAATAGACTGTAAAATGCTACAAAACAATACGTGTTTATTGTAGCCTTTTGTAAAATACATTTTGTACAGTTATTTTACAACAAATAATTGATTTTTTGATAAATAATTGCATTTCAACAATTTTCCTAAAGTTGACTCCTTTCCTTAATTCCTGTGGTGGCCTGAATGTTCCATTTCTAATTTACACAAAAAGAACATTAATTTTCAAACGTTAAATAAAAGGTATAAACAATTTCCAACTAGTATCCTGCTTGCAATTGTTAGTTCTTCAATTGATGTACTTGCAAATAAAATAAACACTTGAATAAATTAATAAAAAATGCTGCTTTGGTGCATTCTCGACGCTGTTTTTTCGCAATTTTCGAAGTTTTCTGGCATGGCTGAGAAATGGTCGAGTTTCGCTACTTAATTTTGGCTCGAAGTTAATGAGGAAAGTCGATCATAAGTCGTACATCGGCAATTTGTTGTCTGAGAAATGATTCTAGCACCCTAAAACTAGATGTACACTGATTGGCTGATCCTAAATATTTCCCAGAACCAAGATCAGTGTATTTAATTAACGTCGTCAATACCCTTCCAGCGTACTTTCAGCCCGTCTTTACTCAGAAGGGAAGTGGGCGGTTCTTAAGTTAACGCGAGGTGGGCGAAAAAACAAAGCACGACGATATATTTTCGGTAGGCTGTACGTTAAATTAACGAAGTGCAGCTGATTGAAATGTTTAATATACAGGGTGTTCAGCAGCTGTTGGTAGAAAATTTCAGGTGTGATTCTACAAGTCAGAGTAAGATGAAATCCAAGAATACAAAAATTGCGTTTGAG